AGCTGGGTTATATTTAACCCAGCATTTTTTTTTAGAGTGTATATATATATTAATTTTGAGATGAATCCCAATTTAGCACATGAAGGGCTTTTAAATGAAGAAGTAGGCCTTTCTGAGGATGGTTGTGGTTAAAGTACAGTGTTGGAATGATGTTAAAGCCTTACATTGCTATAAAACTGACTGGAGTATCGTGTCCAGAAGTTTACCGTAACGCTCCGTTTGTATAATGGACCTTTGACTCGGAACTAATGAAGAAATGAGACGGAAACAACTGATGACAGAAGTTAAAGACTGTGTCAACAAACAGATGCTGTAGGCCTATGTAGAATGTATTACTTTTATTTGTCGGAAATTACAAGCTCGGTGAAAAATAATGCTTGTCAGGTCTTTCCTGAAATTGAATATTAGTAGGCCTATTTTTTTTTACCAAACATTTTATGTAGGGTAAATTTTATTAGCTATGTGAATTATTGTTATTATTATTTTTATTAATTTTATATTAGCCTGTGAAAATAATTTTGAGGCCTTCATTACGGTTTTGTGAGTTTTGGTTTGTGTGTGTGGCAGATTGTTATTTTGGCAGATTGTTCTTTTAATTAACGCTCATTTGCCCGCATCTGCCACGTGTATAGATTTAAATTAATTTTTAAGATTCAGCTTAGTTCACTCAAGGAAAAATAATACACTAGAGCTAGAGGTCAGTGGAGTTTGTTTACTGAGCGAAATGAATTTGCAGTTGGTCATTTGACAAGAGACCGCATTTGGTTCGTATTTTGACAGATCTAGGAGACGGGAGAAAAACAGTTATTGAGTGCAAGTAGTTAAAATCCTCTCGTTGTTTTTGATCAACAGTTTCTGTGATTACAGTCTTTCACTGACCATTTATTGACTGTAGTTTGGAAGCTACGAAAAGGACCGAACAGTCCAACCTGAGTCCTCATCGTGAATTTATTAATTTTTTTTGTGAGGTAAATATGTCCAATGATACTGTCTTTCACAGCTAAATTTTCATGGCATAAACTGAGTGAGATGTACGTTATATGTTTCTGTTCACCCTGTTAAACACCTAATGAAATTAACCAAATAATGTGTTTTTCCCAACAGAGAGAAAATTAATTTAGTGCACTTCATTAACTAAGCCAAACACCACGCGCTGAAACTGACGCTGCGCCCCTCCCTCTCCAAATCTGTTAGCATATAAAACACTGCCTGTGTGTGTGGTAAATGTAGGTCACATCGATGAGGACTGCGCATACTTTGTAAATATAATTATCTTGTAAACACCTTATTCCATGTTTTACAGTCTAGAGAGCCGTTACTTAACGGACGCCGACACCATATTGAGCTTCACTCACACATCCTCATCTAGATTAACTTCATTTGGCCACTTGTCAAATAGGCCACTACACAATGCAAGACAAACATCACGTTGAATTTAAGTTAAATTAAAACGTTTTTATTTTCTCTATCACTATCCTATATTTTTAGATTCACTCTATTAGCAGTTATGGTTTTAGATGTTCGATCACTGGTGCCAAACTTTATATTTATATAAAAAAAATAAAAAAAAAGCAATGCTCTGGCAAATTTTTGGGGTCGTCAGTTGTTTTTTTTTTTTTAAAGAAAGTTTTAGAAATTGCAAAATGACTAACTCTTAAATTGGATAAATTCACCATGTTTACACAGAAATGTTGAAATCGGTTATTTCTACTAGTGTTTTCGTCTTTTAAACTTTATTGGTAATTGTAACTTTTGTTAGAAATGTTTGCGTGTCGGCCAAAACATTTCGATCTTGCATGTTGATATGGTTGCAAATTAATTCAGGTTTTAAGAGTCACCAGCATATTTGTTTTAGCTTATGATTGTTGCTGCTCCAAATGACAGTTCTTATGATCTGGTGGCAGCCAGCTGCTAGTCACAGTTTGCGACGCTTTTAATCCAATGTTAAATCAATTACAGTCAACTCTGGGCCAAACTATACTGGGATGGACACCTCCTCTAAAGTTTCATTTTGCATCTGTTATTTTTATTTCTAGTTTTCCATGGATTGGTGGCGGATTTACGTGGTGGAACCATCTCGAGGAGCATCCAGACCGAACAGATGGACTCGAGCCCTGACCGGTATAGCGTGCATATGTGCATCCGCTGCTTTGCGCGTTGAGCCCTATTAAGACCGTCTACCGTGCAACTGGTGCTTCGCTCAATCCCGCGAGCCCTCGCAGACTACACAAGAGAAAGCTTCTAATCCCTCACGTGAGAGGACGGGTTCTCTCGCGCTCACATCGTGTAATTTACAGTCTGCCTGGAGGCCTTAGATATATATCTGAAACCAGACCGTGTTATTTCATAAGAGCCTCCTGCTGGGCGATTCATTTCCACAGTCACCTCGAGACCTTACAACAACCAGCTCCGTTTTGTATTCTATTATTCTGTTTTTTGGTATTCAACATTGAGTTTACGAACCATTTGTTGACTATATTTGGCTAGCCTATATTCGCTATGGTTTTATTAGCCTATCTGATTAGCCTACATTGTGCTACGTTGATCTGAATTCATCCTTGTGTTATTGGGTCTTCAGGGATCATATATTTAATTTCCTTTCCTTTCTGTTTCGTTTGCCAGAGAAACGGAGAGAGAAAGAGCCAATGATGTAGGCCTGCTAGCTCAATAATATGTCTACTTAAAATAACATCAGCCGTTTTAGCTCGCCCATTAAATGAAAATAAAATGAGGCTTCCCTTCTCCCACGTTGTTTTGCGAGTAAAACATTTATGAAGCGGAATACGTCAGTATATGTGTATGTTTGTGAGAGGATCCTCCCTTTGCGCGAGACACCGGGCGCTCGAGGCGTCTCCGTCCGCCCTTCTCATGCACAAGGGCGTGAGCCCGCGGTAATTTGGGTTAAGTAAGGAGAGCATCAGCTTTTTAAACACTTAAAAACTGCTAAAGCTCTCGTAGACACAAAAACCCAAAGACTCGAGTATTTTGCTGCTGGGGAGGGAGGAGACTGACTGGGGCTGACTTAAACACACACATTTGCACATGAGCAAAAAGTCTTACTCATAAATTGTTAAGCGTCATTAGAGATTTAATTTTCATGGGAACAATATATATAGCTATTAATATTTAGGAAATGTATATGGGTAAAACGGGTGTCCGTGTCTTTTCAATGCACCTGTGTGGCTCCTAATTTGACCGACAGGCTGATTTGAGCGATGACCCCCCCACGCGCGCCCCACTTATCATCCTAAACGTGCACAAAACACTTCCAGCATGGGTCAGACCGTCACTGTCCCGGTTCGGTTAGCGGTGAGCAGAACAGAACGGGAAAAAAAAATGTTGACTGGATTGGCTGCAGGAGAATTAAACTGAATTAAAAGTGACCGCACATCACCGATTATTACAGTATCTAAAATAGGCTAAATTAATAAAAAAAATAATGTGGTCTAATTATTGTATAGGTACAACCGATGATACAGTGGTATAAATAGGCTATTTGTATTCCATAGCATTAAAACAGTGTTTGAATTATTCGTAGATTCTTCTGCTGTTTAATGTTTTTGTGCAATATTATTTCCAAACGAGTTGTTCGATTATAATTTTAAAAAAGCATTGTGAGATGATAAATAAGAACACATAAAAGGGAAATATTCGTTCTGCCATATCTGCAATTAATTTTGCTTTCATGCAAGTGTCTTTCATTCAGTTAAACAGAAATTAAAATATTTGATAAAAACAGATTAAGACCACACTATGAAATAACAAAACAAAACGTTTAATCGTGCAATCCAAATTACAGTGACTTAATACACCCAGTAAAACTTACGTGTTGCTGAAAAAAATCCAAAAAGCAGGAAAATGGTCAAGCCGCGAGGAAAACAGAGACAAATAAAACTGGCCCTGCTAAAGAAAGCACAATCGACCTTAAAGAAATGTCCACAAAAATCATCAAAAATGTTGAAAGCGCACTTGGTTCCTTATTAGGCGAAGATACAATATTTATTCCGTGTCTCCAGGGATGAGGCTGCTCTCTCTATTGTCCTCCCTTTCCTCAATGCTGATGCTTAATTTTCAAAACTTCTATATTACCAAGGGACCTACGACATCAGCCGGAGAAATACCCAGCAAGTACAAAATCCGAGCCAGGGAGCGCTTTGTGCAGAGGGGAGGCATTTCAGCCGCTTTTACCGACTGCGCGAGGCGACGTTTCATTTTCACGCGCTATTTTGGGGATTTTTTTTTATTCATTCGTCCAACGGCGCGAGGAAATCGGGGTATTGGATCGCGAGAATGTCAGCCACATTTCCGGGACTGGTGCACGATGCGGAGGTATTTAAATTAATTTCTTATCACCTCACAAAAATCATCTAATTTAGTTTAATTTAGCGTAGCATCGCATGAAGTGAAATTAGTTTCACTTAGCACAGCGAAATGTAAGTGAAGACTTCTGAGGGGAGTTTGCTGCAAGGCGAGGAGAAATACCGTGCGTTATTTTATAGTGAAAATGCCTTTTACTGTTTGTTTTTTTTCGTGGCGAATATGGCTCTCTAGAGTTATTTTAAAAGTCTCTACTGTGATTGGAACCATTTGCTCGTTCTTTTTTTATGCATAATAATTATTAGTAGTGCAGACTCTCGTGCCTTGTGCTTACCTGCAGTGAAACGGGCGTAGAAACGGCTTTTAATGGCGTTTGCACGGATGTAGTAGCCTAATAATAATATAGTCAAATAACACTCAGTGGCAAATGATAGACAAGTGAGGGAGGAAAAAAAAACGCTGTGAGCTCGTGAAGCAGTTTGCATTGTGTTTCACGCACTCCCTCCCAGGCACGGAGAGATGACATCGCCGTCAGGTACTTTTCTAAAGACGCTTTGAGCTGCTGTGTGTGTTTGTGTGTTTGGGGAAGGTTTGAGTTTCCGCCGCGTGAGAAATGCGCGCGGATCGCTGCGAGCGCGTGTAAATGACATCCCTCATATTTTTCTCTTTTTTTCCCCGCACAGATACGTCACGACGGATCAAACAGCTACCGTTTGATGCAACTCGGATGCTTGGAATCTGTGGCCAACTCGTCTGTCGCTTACTCTTCATCGTCTCCGCTTACATATCCAGCTACCGGAACCGAATTTGCCTCCCCGTATTTTCCCACGAACCAGTACACGCCTTTACACCACCAGTCCTTCCACTACGAGTTCCAGCACAGCCACCCGGCCGTGAACCCGGACGCGTACTCGTTAAACTCTCTCCATCACTCGCAGCAGTATTACCAGCAGCTCCATCACGGCGAGCCGGCGGACTTCATCAACCTTCACAACGCCCGGGCGCTCAAGTCCTCTTGCCTGGACGAGCAGCGGCGGGAACTGGGCTGCCTGGACGCGTACCGTAGGCATGACCTGTCAATCATGAGCCACGGCTCTCAGTATGGCATGCACCCCGAGCAAAGACTGCTGCCCGGGGCGGGTCTGGGGCTGCCGCCAACGGGGCCCGATGACCTACAGGTAGCTACACCTCACCGGCATTTCTACCGTTCAAGCACAAAATACACACACTCAGCGTGTCACCACCGTCTCACACGCAGGCTGCAGAGAAGTTGACGCCTTCAGGGATGTTGTATAGTCACTTTCAGTGCCCGAACAGAAGAAATGGTTGCCCGAGGGCTTCGACAAAAAACCTGAGACATCAGGAGAGACTTAAGAGAGAAAACTCGAGGCCGAGCGATTACTTCTTTTCGGCCTTTTCGATTTCGCACAAATTAATTTAATAACGAATAATAGGCCTACATTAATATTTCGAAATAGCTAATTAAAATAAACTGATAAACACGGAAAAAAATCACAACGGAAAAAAACAGTCCGATTTGCAGAAATGCATTATTTCCCAACGTGTGAAATAAGACTTTTTTTTTAAAGCTATATTTTGAAACGTTTGGAAGCACCATCCTTTCAGTTGATTTAACTGGCGGATTTTACATATTTAATATAGTGAATATTGAGAAGTCTGAATTCGGCTGCGCGTATGTCGGGCCTCGCTGCTGTAAAGCCGCTGTTTCTTTTTCCTCTGTTAAAAGGCGGATTAAGGGCTTGAAAAAGTGCGAACAAAAGGCAAATCCTCCGCAGTAGAGCACCGTAGTTTATCCAATTTAGGACTTAATGTCAATCAACTGGTTATTTATGCACAGACATCTGAAACAGCTCAAGTTTAACCGGTGAGTCAACAATATGTTAAAATCAAAAAGATTATACAATGCTTTTAATCCTTCAGTGCGACAGTAAAGTTAAAATATATTGTTTTTGAAATAAAATATTCTAGCTAGCAGATTATATTTTGGATTTTTACGTCCTTGCATAGAAAGGAAATTCTAGTTTTAATAGTAAAATGAGTATTTAAATTGTAACATCTACGTAATCTAATTTATAGAAATAATAGAATAAAACGATTCTACAAAAGATTAGATCATAATGGAATACGGTAATGTTAAGTAAATGTACAAATTATTTTTATTGTTTTGACTAGTAATTAAAAAATAATTGTTGCATAATTACTTTTTTATTTGCTCATCGTGTTTTACAGGGCATAGGCTATTTAAATAACATGGACAAAATAAAATCAGCATTATAGTAATTATTTTATTTTGCAATAACATTTTGTCAGAAAATATTCATAAAGTTATGTTAGCACAGAAGCAGTTTTGCAATCTTGAAAATGTTTTGAATCGTAGCTTCACAAAAGATTCATTTTAGTATTGCTCTCGCGTGTTCAGGAACATTCTGCACACGCACACAAAAAAGGCCCACAGGAGAACAGACACAAAAACACAGAAAACAACACATACGTCGCGTGAAAAGGTTTTGGACCTTTCTTTGGTGCTGAATGAAACCGTGCGCTCGGTGAAGGCCGCGGAACAGATGCGGTCAGTCTCGTGCGCACAAGCGCATCTTTGAGCCGCTAAACAGATTTGGCACGCGGAACAATAGAAGCTGCCGCACCTTTAACACACGCACGCGTAATTTATGCCTGATCCGACGGGTTTGTATATTGATTTTATAATCACTTTAACTGCGGGGAAAAGAAAAATAGAGCATGAGTTTGTTAAAGGGTTATAAGAGCACGCCAGTATGGTGTCAGTATGTGAGCGTGTGTGGGTGAAATAGGCTAGGCCTATGTGTGCTTTTTTTTTTTTGAGACTGTGTCTGTCTGACTTGGCCTCCAGACTGGTCGTGGCTTGTGAGAAGGATTAACTCTTTTCTTTTGATGCGATCTAGTGTTCTTTCGGCTGATGACATCACTGATAAGAGAACGTAAAATAATCTGTTGGTTTGACATCATAATGTAACCGGTTCCGTTACCTCTGCAACTTAACTACCTGTAACCACGTGGTCTGTTTAATTTGTCACACATGCCTCTTCAAAAACCTAAATACTGATCGCCATGTTTAAGATGAGTTTATTATTATGAAGTTCATATATATGTGTATGTGTGTCTAGGGATCTGTAGACGCGCAATGCGGACTCGTGTTAAATGGACAAGGTGGAGTGATTCGGAGAGGTAAGGTCACAACACACACACATAAACAGAGAGCAAGAGAAGCACACACTCATTTAATTTCTTTTAAAAGGTGTTTTTATTTTTTATTGATTTATAATTATATTTCCACTAACGTTAGTCTTGTCTGATAATATGATTTGAATTCTTCTTTTATAATTACAGGAGACTAAGGAGGCTTTTTTTTGGTATATTTAATAGCCTACGTACTGCTTTCCAGTGACAAGACAAGGATTTACTATTTTAGCATAAGCATTTTAGCCTTTTAATTTAAAGATACTAAAATCGCGTTGGTTTTATTCATTTAAGAATCCCAAAAAAATATGTTTTATACCGACAACGGTAATAGTAATACTATTTTACTAAAAATGTAGGGAAATAATTTATTTGTAATATTTTTAAATTTTGGCTTTCCTACACTCTAAAAAATGCTGGGTTAAATATAACCCAGCGCTGGGGCTGGGTTAAAAAGGGACAACAACCGCTGGGTCAAAACAACCCAATAGCTGGGTTTGTCCCTTTTTAACCCAGCCCCAGCGCTGGGTTATATTTAACCCAGCATTTTTTAGAGTGTAATGCCAATCAACAGGCCCACTGCTTTCATTGTTAGATTGTTAAATTATTACTGTTACTGAAAAAACAGATAAATAACAAATGCAACAAAAATAATAAACATTTCAGTATCGGCAGGAAAAATGTCAATGAATTCAGCTTAATTAAATTCATATTGTATTTACATTTTGGATGCAACAATTTTTATTATTTTATATTATTTCCTCGGGCAAAATGCTGCAAATTCATATGATCTTTTACGTATTAGATAGGCTACTTTTCTCAAAACAAATATCAGTTGTTTAAAATGTATTATTATTATTATTATTGGTGATGGTTTTGTTGTCCTAGACGTTGGTGTTTCTTTTAAAATGTGTATTACCTCAAAGCATGTTTACTATTATCTTTCTAGCTGACGTCGCAATTCAGAGAAAATGGATTAATGAATTAGTCAGAGACGGCATAATTAAGGAACTATATCTGTTTCAGAAGTTCAAACTCCGATAAAACATACATTTCTCAAGGTCATTCTCCACTGAGAGCCGTTCAAGATAATCTCAGAAGAATTTCTGTATTCTCTGTCTGTCTGCCGCTGTATTTTGTAAAACATCTTGTCTTGTGCGGATGAATCGAATCGTGTTCCACGTTTCTTAATATTTTCTTAATATCAGTCGCATCTTTGTCTGTCTCTTCAAAGCAGCAGCGGATCGGAGTTTGCTATAAAGCGAACGGTGTCTTGGGCGCTTCATTTTTAATAAACTCTGTGTAGGTGTTGGGCTCGCCATCACTTCCAGTTAATGGTGTGCAGGATTTAGCCGCGAGCTCCGCCGCTCCAACCATCACAACCAATAATCATTGCTTTACCTCGCGCTCCGGTATCGATAGCTTCTCGCGCCTCAGGCGCACGCTTTGATATGTTAATGCCGCGCGGATCCAAATTCAGTGGAGATCATATTAATGTTGTTCACACTGACTGCAGCTTTGGCTTCGTTGAATATTCAGATAACCTTTTTCAAAAGAAATCAGTCAAGAAACTAGGATCCTACTTAGAAAAGTCGTCTGTGTTTTAATCATGATTATCCCTAGTAGCTTTCAGGAATTTGATCGCGCTTCACCCCGCCTTTACACGCACGCACGCACACGCGCACACACACACACACACACACACACACACACTGTGCGCGTGCGTCTGTGTTTTGGGTGATGATGAGCGTGAGGCGCGCGCGTAAACACACACCACCGCCACAATTGAAATAGAAACAGAATGACATTTGGCCTATGTCTTTTTTTCTTTAATTTTCGTGGCAAACTCGCAAAAAGCGCTTGATTCGCTTTGTGATCGCTCGCGCGCTGCCTCGGGCTACTCTCCCTCGCGCTTAAATACCCGCTATCGCCTCTGGGCCCGGCGCGCGCGACCAGACTACCGGCAATAGCTCTTTTTCAATTGCCCTTGGCAACATAAAATACAAACTACTTTGAATCAAAACATTTTGGGTGGAATTAATGTGAAGTGAACTTGCATGCTAGCAGAGATCTTGGGTTTGCCAGAGTGCTTTAGGGTGACTGATGAGGAGCAGGTTAGAGGCCTGCTAGCCAGAAAAGTCCTTCAGGAACACACACGTTCACACACTCAAACACAAATACACACACGTGGCTAAATAAGGTAGCCGAACCCATTGATTCCAGCTCTAGCTGAGCTTGTGATCTTTGCATCATAAATGGATCTAGGCATAGTATGGATTTGACATACAGTGTTTAATAAATAAACACGTACAATTTAATATGCAATTAAATGTGCAAAATACTTCTGTAGGAAACATAATGAAATATGGACATGAAATAAATACAATTATTTGCATTTTAGTAGTATTTTTAATCATTTTTATGCATGCCTGCTCATATTTAACTACATGGAATATTTGCACTTTTTAAAAATTGCTTTGTCACACCACATAACCTATCCAAATTAACTATAGAAGGCAAAAAGCTGATTAAAATGTTTTACAATTTTAACCTACCTACAATGCGTAAGCTTGTTTATATACATTTTAAGTTCATGCACATGTTATGTGTTAACCACTCCTATACAACTGCACCGCTTCAATGCATGCTTTTTGAAATAGTTGCAAAATAAAAAGCATTATGAGGGATTATGAATCATTATCAGTTGATTTATTTGCAATAATCTGATATACTGTAATTTTTATTCAATTTCTGAAGAATATATGGGTGATTTTCTCATTTGTGGCCACAAACAGAACATGCAAGCACCATTGCCGGTTATTTCCAAAGGTTTGACGTGTTGTTTGTTGTTGTGTACAGGCACGTGTGTAGTGAACCCTACAGACCTGTTCTGCTCTGTACCAGGAAGACTTTCTCTACTCAGCTCTACCTCAAAGTACAAAGTCACCATCGCTGAAGTCAAACGCCGCCTCTCTCCTCCAGAGTGTCTCAATGCTTCACTACTCGGTGGGATATTAAGAAGGTAAGAGATGCACTTTAAACACATGAAACTCATAAACTGGAATGCACACGTTTGGAATTTTGGAATACTAGATCTTAAACACCTGAAAGCATCCAATTCTGAACCAAGTCTAAGAGAAGCACAGCTGTAGTGTTTATCGCTACACGTTTACTCACAAAACCGCCAGTTTAACAAAGATCTCATGCATGTTTTTTTGCCAACTCCAGATTTCCTTGAATTCAAGTAATAGCAGAATCAGGGGTTACAATTATTAAAGCAAAATAATTTCATGTAGGTAATGAAAATGAAGAATATTTTTTTTATTTAGTTCATTGGCAAAACAAAACTCAAGACAGAAAGAGGAAAAATAGACGGGACATGGAGTCCTGGACATTTAATCCAGAGATAAAAAAAGCGAATGTGGCTGGAGAGAGATTGAATGAGAACAGTGAAGCTGAGGTTCCATTATAGATGAGGGACACAGACTGGAGAGCAGAAATGAGGCCAGTGACGAGAAGGAAGGAGAAACACACACACTTATACACACACATTCACTCACTCACTCACTCACTCATTTTAAACACAGGAGAACACATGCTGGTAAAGCTCAGGTTCATTAACGCCTGCAGAAACAAAAGAATAGCCAGAAAAGCATTCAGAAAAATGGAATATTTATTATTGAATAAATATTTGATTACCCTTTATATACATTATAGCCTAAATAAAGCCAACGCTTGGGCAAAATAAGCATTGTGGTCCTGTTTAGTCCTAAATGGGTGAGGACTCGTTTTAGTTGTCACACAGCTACAGTTCTCATGTGCTCACTTGGAAATGTAGGTTTGTAGAGTGTTAAGGTTTAATAATGTAAAAGTGCTTTGGAAAAAAAATGGACTGGGTGAGAAGGGCATGCAAACGCTCTTCAGTGGATATGAAATGCGACATATGAATTGCATGTAAGTGTGTTGCTGATGGACTTTCTCCATCTGTGTGGGTCAGGGCCAAGTCAAAGAACGGCGGTCGGTGCCTCAGGGAGAAACTGGACAGGTTGGGACTCAATCTCCCAGCAGGCCGCAGGAAAGCAGCGAACGTCACGCTGTTGACCTCTTTAGTGGAAGGTATGGATTCATTTGTGCTTGTTTTTTTTAATAATGCCACCTCTTGCTTATCAAGTTCATGGTTGTTTTCATATGCATGCTTTTGTTTCTAACATTGAATACTGACTTGATTTGATGCTGGATGTTTGTACAACGACTCATTTTATGAATTTGGTTTGTTGAAGTTGTTTAAAGGAAGCAGAGATAAAATATGATGCAAAATGTGAGCAACTTGTTTACATTTTCATTCCGTTTTATTTCATATCTAGGACCTGTTGAATGCATTTTTGCAATTCAACAGGTTGTAAGCGTAATGCATCGGGTTTAGTTTCTTCATATTTGTTGTGGGTGAGCTCTTATTAACATTGAAACAAATCTATTCTGGCATAAAATACGTCTGAAATATTTTTAGTCTACAGACAAAATCTCTATTACTCAAGGGAAGAGTTTAAGTATTAGAATGGCGTGAGACAGATTGATGCAACATCTATGCAATTTTTTAGGCAGTATTTAGAGAATGAACTGATTTCCCGGCTTAATTCATCCCTCATCTTCCTCCTCTGTGTGTGTGTGTGTGTGTGTGTGTGTGTGTGTGTGTAGGGGAAGCGCTACATCTGGCTCGGGACTTTGGCTACACCTGTGAGACAGAGTTTCCCACCAAAGCGGTCGGGGAGCATCTCGCCCGCCAGCACACGGAACCAAAGGAACAGAACGCGCGCAAGAAAATGGTGCTGGCCACCAAGTAAGACAGCAAATCTTTAGTACTTTTAGCCAAATGAGTTTATATATACCACTTTATTGGATGTACATTTTAACTCTTGAATAATAAATTAAATAATTTATAATAAATAAATTCCTAAATGAGACCTTCAAATGCACCAAATGTGATTTATCTAGTGCAGTCTGGCTACATAAGGACTCATCTTCAAAAGCAGATGCACCTTAGGGAATGAGGATTTATCATTGAGGATTGGAGGAAAGCATGTGTGTTTGCATGCGTGTAACATATGAAAACTACGATCTCATTAAATCTCCTCTATGCATTAATTATGAGGAACGCTGCTTTGGTTTGCGTTTTGGTGATGCGTCCTTGTAACTGTTTGAATGGCTGTGTGTCTCTGCAGGCAGATCTGTAAGGAATTTCAGGATTTGTTAAGTCAGGATCGATCTCCGCTCGGTTCCTCTAGACCAACACCTATTCTGGACTTGGACATTCAGAGACATCTAACACACTTCAGGTATAAAGCCAAAACCTGTATGCAAAAATAGAGCAAACCTCCACCTTATGTGAAAGTAATCGTAAGACTGAAAATTCATTAGCCGATATAAGTAACAAAAGTGTAGTAAATTGTAAAAGTATTTGCATTTATGATTACAATAATAAACTAAAAAATATGATTCAAGCAGCGTAACTGACTGTTATTGTTCAGCTAAAATAACTGGAAGCCAGTGACACCGGAAGTCTTGCACATATGAATATGCTAATGAAAGTATTGTTATTAATCACCATTTTTATTATCTTTTTTAGTCTGATCACGCATGGATTCGGTACGCCGGCAATTTGCGCGGCACTTAGCACCTTTCAAACCATTCTCAGTGAAATGCTTAATTACCTGGAGAAACACTCTGCCAATAAGAGCATGGGAACTCCAGACACCAACCAGATCAACTCCAACTCGGACAAAACACTGCGCAAAACCACCGAGGCACTGATGAAAGACGGCAAAATCGAGAAAACAGAATGACTCTGACGCAGGAGTGGCTGCTTTCCCACTTCCTGATCTGAGCCCTGATGGGCGGGCCTCGTTCAGGGCGTGGCTACTAGGGGCGGGGTTACGGGGTTTTTATTCCATATGCGTTTATTTATATAACTGGCATAACTTCCTATGACCTCAGCTTTCCCTGTATGAGAGTCTGTCTGTATGTACAAACCAGTCACGTCATTCTCACTGCCCGGCGAACACAAACCATTTTATAAGTTATTGAAGAAGTTATTTTGCTTAAAGTTTGTCTGTATGTAATTAGTTTAAATAATGATTTAAAAAAATGCAATCTTTTATCTATCTTTTATTAAAAGACTCACATTCCATTTCTGGCAAGACCTAATTTGAGGTCAGTTTGAGACTGTAAATCACGACAGGTAACTTTCCCTGTTAGTTACTGTATATTGTGCATGTTAAACTTTGTACACCATCTGAAACTGACATTCCCCACTGTTGTTCCAGAACACAAACTCTTGACTGCATTTGTAAAAAAGTCATATATAAATATATAAATTCAATCTTTTCTTGTAGGCTTTGAACTACATTTATGAAATAACCTTAAATGCAAACTACTGGTGTTCAATAAAGCATATTGCTCAAAGTCTTATATTAACTCACCTGACTGGACTTGAATCCTTGTGCCTCTTCTCGAGTATGAATCATATTTTATGTGCATTTGCAATGGATTTGACACAGACAACACCTTATTGATTCATCTGACACATACTTCAACTTAACCTGCCAAAAAATCTCACTCATCTGCTTCTGTTCATGTGGTTTTACTAGACAGCAAGTTTTTGGCTGACCTGCCTCTCAAGCATTTCCTTCTGGAGATCTAGAGTACCTTCCTAGAGCAGCTTTTCAATGAGCCTGAAGGCCGTGATTAGCTGGTTCTGGTTTGTTAGACTTGTAAATAAACGCTGCAGGAAAGTAGGCCTACTTGCTTTACCTCAGTCTCACACTTGTACTTAATTCACAGAAAATGAAAATACCCAGTGAACGTAAAATACTGAATTAAAATAATAAAAGAAAGCAGCTAGCTTTATTTATACAATTATTGGATTATATCAATTCTAAAAAACAATCACAATGCAGCTAAACCTGATTCTTTGGACTACAATGGAATATACATTTAGGAAAAAATGGTTGATGTAGAATAAATAAGCACCCAAACAGAACAGATCATTAACAGCACAGAAAGACCAACACGACGCTGCACCGGAAGGCTTTACAAAGTCAATAACCGACTGACAGGTCGATGCGAAGCTTTGCACAAGATAAAAGAGATTCGCATTCATATTCAGTTTTTTTGTTGTTATTATAGGAAACAGCTGTCTGATCTCAGTAGCCTACTTTCAATAATCAGCGACCAGTCAACGTTAACGAACGTAGCCTAAATATCCTATCCCAATAACACCATCTTAGGAAAACCCAAATAGCCTTGACGCATAATTAGCGCATTTATTGATCACGAGTGTGTTTTATCAATTTGGGCAGTTCTAATGCATGTGTGACGTTCAATACTTAAATTTCCGCTTTCATTTAATACGCTAAGACATAGACTCGACCTAGTTTACGCGGTGAGTAATTAATTAAGATCAAAAAGTATAATGCAAATGAAAAGTCTTCATGAGAAAATACAGAGAAGCCAGGCTACTCACAACCAAACAATTGGCACTTATTCTATTTAAACAAACATCCATTTTGAAAGTAAATGTTATACTCAACCGATCTATAGCCAGACTGTTCCAGCAGAGTCAAATAATCATAAATAATAGACCCCACAACTTTATTCAGATAAAACGAAGGTCTAACTATATTATATAGTTGTACACGCATGCACTAGATGTTGATATTATAGGCTATAATTATTGCTTTTGAATTGGTGTAGCCTACCAAAAGGTCCAACCATAAACATTTAGCCTATTTAGGCTACCTAGTGACCACCATCGATTTTTCATTGTATTTAAACAACAATAATTGGCTAAACTATTCACATTAAAATAAATAAATAAATAAGTAAAAAGTCTACTTTATTAATAGTTTTTACGAGTAAGGACATCCCTGAATTTCACAGGATTTTTTTTTTTTTTAACTCAGATTTTACTGGGCAAATTTCCACACAGAGAGAACTTTAAAAGTCCAATGGGAAACGTGTTTGTGAAGATTATTATTTGTACGAGTCATCGTACAATCTGGAACAATCTGAAGCATCTGGACTTGGTTTATCATAAGACTTTCTTCCCTCTTTTGAAAGTCTTCAACAGAAACACAATGGATCTTTATTACGTTACTCGCGCGCTATCTTGTGGCCAGCATGTGTAATTGCAGGCAATGGTTGAGCTCGCACACACACGCACACACACACACACACACACACACACACGCACCGTTAAAATTATATAATAAATGTAGTGTGCATATAAGTGTTCACATATTTTTTATTAGGTGTGCACATTTTAATTTTAGTAAAAAATGTGGACACCTATAACAATACCAAATGTAATAATTCTTTAGTTTTTTTTTTATATTCTCTGCTTTTATGATTTGAAAATGTGACAAAAACATGTTTTTGCAAAGTTTGTGCACACGTGCATGTGTGGGAATCTATGTGTGCTCATGCGTTTTTGTGTTCTGTGAGAATTTTAATGCGTGATTATGTTGAATTTTAATCAAAGTCTGTTCAGAATGAGCTCTCAAACTGTTTGGACATCTGTCATGGCCTCTAGACATGCCCAGAGTGAGCGTGAGTGTGTGTGTGGCTCTGGCACTGTCTCTGCGGCAGCATGGCTGCTGAAACATTAATCGCAGATTATTTTCACTCTTCCATACGTCAAGCAGCATCTTAATGGCCAATGAAACAGATCTGAGAAACTGACATGAAACTGGGTCAAGATCAGTGAGCTCAGTTAAAATGTCCCACAGTATAGTGACCTCTTGTGCAGGAAGGGGGAATTGTTCCTTTTCTACATGAACAGAAACATTGGATCGGTGGCTGCAACTGTCTGTCATACTGCAGCATCTTAGTATGTTAGTATGCTTTTAAATATATTAGTCTCCAATCTTTAAATGCAAAATTATAAGTAAAATTGTAAGTGCTTGTGTTGAATTTCTTACTTAACCAAAAATTACAGCACTGAAGTTAATTACACTGCATGGAATAAAATAATTTAAATGATTAATAATGTAATTATTCATTCTACCTTCATTTTAGTTTTGTGTTTATTTTATTTTTTATATTTATTTTTACATTTTATTTGAGTTATTAATGACAATTAATTACAATCATATTTTTGTATGTTTGTTACCTTTAGTAATTTTGCTGTTTCATGAATTGTTTGTGTTGCGTAATTGCTTTATTGTTTACATGTTGCAGACAGCAGGCTATTCTAATGGCAGGCTCCCTTTGTGGCAACTTTTGCCCACTATATGTATCTGCTACTGGGGCATGTTGTCACAAAAAATCAACGGTTACACTTTACTTGAAGGGGTGTGCATAAGACTGACATGACACCTTCATAATCATGACATGACACCTACATAATCATGACATGACACATGTCATGAATATGAAGGTTTTTTTATGCATGTTTATGACAACTGTCATTAAGTGTGATTCGCTCAGTTATGTAATTTTTAATGCAAAGATGACGTTGTTTGAGATGTCTTTGTTATGGGCTATGGTTAGGGGTAAGGGTAGGGGTAGGGTTAGGTTAGGGTTAGGTCAAATAATGTCATATTTGCATTAAAAATGACATATGAGCGAATGACACTTAATGACAGTTGTCATAAACATGCATAAAACCTCCTTCATATTCATGACATGTGTCATGTCATACTTATGAAGGTGCCATGTCAGTCTTATGCACACCCCTTCAAGTAAAGTGTTACCTCAACTTGTGCTCAATGACCTGTAGCCTATTTTTCCTGAGCAGTAATGATGTTCAGTAGACAGGGTTTTTTTTTTGTTTTTTGTTAAGACTTTAAGATTTGTCTTTAGAAACTGATAATGAAATAAACCTACCCTAAAAAATATATAGCTATTTCCAGGAGTAAATATATACTATTTGCAGGAGTAAAAGCTGTAATAATTTTACCTGGTCTCCCCTGCTTATAACTTTACATAAACTATGTTTTATTTAGTTTATTGTTTCCATTTATTTATTATATATTTATTTATTTATTTGGAAGGACTTTTGGTTTAGGGACTTTTTGTCCGCCATATTCAGGTAAGCTTTTGCTGTTGTCTAATGTCAGTCTTTGGAGGATTTGTGTGTTTTTGCATAGTTTTAAACGCATTTTTTGCGGAAATTATCCAAAAATACGGTAAAACGTTGTTGGTGAGTGCTACACCGACAGGACAATTTTTTAAATGCTTAAATAAATATTGATAAACTTACGTGTAAACAACGTGTCAGATCTCATTCCCAAATACATCTTTAAAATAAGTCAAAACAAGGCAAACTAATGTTCGTTTATGATTCAGGTCATTGCAGCAGTGCTGAAAAAAAGTTCACAGTAACGCGTTAGTTCACAATGTGATCGCTTGATTCGATTTCAGATCCTCTTACTTTATTTTAGTGTTTGCCTCAGTTCTGATTTGCAGTTATTAATCGCTTTGCTGTGTGATTTAATAATTCCTTTAAGAAAAAGGGAGATTTTTCAAATGCTTAGCGACGATTCATTCCAACCTACTTAAGAATCAATTCCGTTCTATTTTACCGCCTGATCACGTTTAACTAGAAAACAGTTTGATCCTTCAGAACTTTCTTTACAGCTTGTCCGAGATTAGCAACAGTAACCAAGGGGCGGGGCTTTGTGAGGGTCAGGCAGGTGTGTTAGAGCGGGGCTGAGACTAAACTCTGCAGGAGCTGGAATGAGCACCGCATTTCTTTTAGAAACCGTGAGTATCACGATAACATGAAGTTTAGTACTGTTTGACCTCGTCTCAAACTGAGCTGAAACGTTTTGTTCTTCTATTTCCAGTCAACCTGAAACGAGCTTGTTGTTCTCTTTTCAGTGTTTAAGTCAGGGGTGCCCAAACTCGGTCCTGGAGGGCCGGTGTCCTGCAGAGTTTAGCTCCAACCCTAATCAAACACACCTGAACCAGCTAATCACGGTCTTACTAGGCATACTAGAAACTTCCAGGCAGGTGTGTTGAGGCAAGCTGGAGCTAAACTCTGCAGGACACCGGCCCTCCAGGACCGAGTTTGGGCAACCCTGGTTTAAGTAGTACGTGTTTAACTGACCAGCAGGGGGCGCACTGGACTGGCTCTCATCACTGCTGCATCGCTGTAACTGTATAAGAGGCAGCTGTGGACATCTGACCTCGCTTTCTTGCTAGTGTCTTTGAGGTAGGCTAATGTTTGCTACAGCAATGAGGAGATTTGTAGCAAAAACAGAACCCTCGCGTTTCGCTTATTCAGTGATTAAACAGTCGCACAGCACAGTAGTCTACCCTTATAGAGAGTTTACCAAGCCGCCTTTTCCAACTGTTTATTGACTTTGCAAGAATGACTTTTGAAATTATATATCAAAGCTATTGATTATTT